AACAAAACCAAACTGTTCCTTCAATGTCTTTACAAGCTGAATAAAACAAGAGCAGCGAAGTTACATAAACAACATATTCCAAGTGTCATCTTTAGTATTATAAATAGCAAAAATATATTCCAAGACTGAGAAAACAAACTTAGCACCAGAATATAACAAACACTGGATGGAGCTTCTTACTGGTAGACCTCTGGTTGTCAATATCACACCAACTTCTCCTTCTTGCCCTACTGCTTAGATGGCTACACTTCAGCCTTTGGCTTCATTTGAAAGAGAAGAAATGAGTATAAAAGGTTCCCTGGTTCTGAGACCATCAGAGGGGGAGAGAAAGCTCTGAGCATCTTTCCACACCATGGAGCATGCAATGGCACTCCATTCCTTGCAGTAGCACACTCTCATGTTAGCTGGATTCATTTAAATAGCTTTCCAGAAGAGCATACAAAAAAAAAAAGGAAAGAAAAAAAGGAAAGAAAAAAACATGGGAACTAGGACAAGGATCAAGGCACTGGTTTCCTTAAAGCACAGGAGTATACATCCAGGAATAGCTACTTCAGCTGTCCTTCTCCAGGGCATCTACTGGAAATGATCTGTGGAGCCTTCGGTGTGTCATTAATCCACCTGACTTTCTTTGTAACCTCAGTTTCAGACACTAAATGCAATAATCTCAACTGCACTAGACTCTGAGACCAATCAAGTGGCAGGCTGGAGACTTTCTTTGCTGCTCCTTGATGACCACGGATAAACTGGGATCAAACTACCTCTCACACCAGTTGGGTCGCTAACGCTATTCCCTCCTCACTCTCTAGCAACATAAATCTTCTCCGAGCAATGACTGCATTTCCAATTACCTACGTACTGCACAATGGGTTTGCAAGGAGGGTTTAGCTTGAGGAACACCCAGATTCTGGGTTTTCAGATAAAAACAGCTATCCTATAGTTGGAAGTAGCAAGGGATTTCAGAAACACTTGTTTCAATATCTCAGAGTCCTTTAGCCTTCTCATACCCTACAGATGCAGCTTCAAGTTACTGCCACTGACCCAGTGGAGTTTCAGCTGAGATGCCAGAGAAGACAGTAAATCTCTGAAGAGGATCTGGGAGAGAAAAGACATCAACTGATCTTAAGATAAAAATCCACAATCACTGTTAATAATTAACCACCACAATCGGAACAACAACTTGTTCTTCAGATAAAATTGGCAAGCATCATTTTGTTTATCGTTAAAACAAACTTTGTGGTTTATTACATCCTCCCTTTCTTTTTTTGCTCTCTTTTTTTTTAATCTGCAACAGGCTTGTATTAAAAATCCACATACTGACAACTTACTCTTCAATATTAACAGGCAGTCAGTATTCTTGATGCCAACAATTTTTTTCCAAAAGCACTGACTGAAACAATTACGTGTATGTATAAAGCGTCCTTAGTCCAGTGAAGCAGAGCAAGAGTAAATAAAGAGCATGGTTTATACACTTGCTTCAGACCTAGAGCAACAGTACTCTGCAAAACTAGCAAGCCTGAACTCTTGTTTGCATTCCAGAACAAGAGCTGTGAGGCTGCAGTGTAGTTAAGGGGAAAGTGAAGTTTGGGAACACAGTGTACATAGAAATCTCAAATTCATGGTTTAAAAAAATGCACCAACCAACATTTAAAAAGTGTAAGCAATAAAATTTGTGACAACTTAGCAGAATATCTTCAACTGCTTAAGCTGCAGTACACAGGAGCTAAAACACAAAGGGTTTTAAGGCAAATTCTGGCTCAATTTGGGTATTGCATGAAGAAGGCATGGCAGCTGCTTCTAACACTTCCACAGCCAAGCAATCTTTCAACTGGGGAATCTCCTCTCTCCCCCAAAGAGAAAAACATCCTTTCTTGTCATTTGGAAAAGCTACTGTGAGGGAGAACAAGAACCAAAATGTGATGTGTTCTTTTTCAACACAGACGAATTTTCAGACTGCCTACTCTCATATGTAGAATGACATATGTATTCCCTGGTAAGTAGGAAAAGAATGCAGGCAGCTGTATGTACCTTTCAACATTCAGACAGTTCAGCTACAGAAGTTCACAGCTGCAGAGTATTTCCAGCAACAGAACTTAAAAGTTTGAATGAACAGCAAAGCAAGTGAAAGCGTAGCTACTGGGAAGAGAAAGTGCATCTGCACCTCTGTAAACCTCCACATACCACCAGCAATTCAGTCTCTGAGACAGGGATTTTTCATTTATGTCATGTACTGAGCAGGAATAAATATTTTATTCAGAAATGCAATAAATTATGTTATTTTAACAACTGAAAGAAGTAACTTCATAAACAAAAGGAGGTATTCTTGGGTTTTTTTCCCAGTCCATTGCTGACTATACCTGCCAAGTCAGTGCATATGTCAGCAACTCATTATGATGACCCAGCTGCTTTTAAGTCTACTCAGTGGGTAGCTGAAAAGCTGGTATTTACTTCTGTCTTCAACATACCTCTTGTTTTGAAATCCAGCATTCATGAGCATTAGTTAAATTAGCAACTAAAGTGATTTATTAAGAGGAACAACTAGCATCAAGAGCTGCTTACAGCAAGACTATTTTTCCTAGACTGCCCTACTAACCAGATTTTAATCTAAAATAGTGCCAGGAAGGGCAGGTATATAAATGCCAATGCATTTTGCTCATAACATCAAATGTTATGAACACATGGTTATTTTGGAGTCCTAAATACTTCTGGGCTTGATTCACTGGTGCTGTGCCCTGTGTGTGGCTGCAATTTAGCAATTAAGAATTTAGTATAACAGCCAACAGTACCAAATCAGAACAGCAGAGATTTTGTACTTGCTTTGCAGTGGTTTGAAAGAACATGGACAAACAAAAACAAAACAAAACAAGACTTTTGGTTTATCCAGTCAAGGTTTACCTCGTGTAACCCCCAAAAGACCTGAAAATGGTTTTATTAAATTGGATTAAAAAACAAAAAAGAGTCAGACAAACAACAACTTGTGCTCCCAAGGAATGACTGAGCTTCCCTTACCTTGAACATGCTTTCATACCAGGATTCACTAATAGTTTCAAAAAGATGTAGTGTTCTCTTCTTGCTAGGTAGTTGTGTATTTACTCACTACAGAAAAGCAGACCTACAGCAGCAGTCAGGCTGGCTCAAGGCTTTTCAGCAGCACAGGTAAAACTCAGGTTTTCCCACTCTAAGGAGAAGAAACCAGGACTGTGTCTCTTAGGGCAGGAGGGAGGGCTCCAGGGCCAGGCTGGTGCTTTCGCTGCTGTTGGGAGGCAAGGGAGAATGGTTGGGGCACTGGTCCTCCTAACCCCCAGCAGGAACCAGCACCTCACACAGCCCCTTCCACCAGCACAGCAACGGGAACAGCAGCAATTTCCAGCCACTGACTGCCCGCGTGATGCCACCTCTGCTGGGTGGAAACAAGGCTGGAGGACATCAGCAGTGGCAAAGGCAAGCTGTTCAGCGTCAAGGGGCACAGTTGAGGCACTGGCTCTGATCCACTGAAACAGTGCCACGTAACCTTCCTAGGCACTCATTTCTTGTGCTCCCGTGCCTTCTCGGCAAGATCAAAGCAACGGAGGCAGAGCAGATTTCCACTCGCTGACAGAATAGGATCAGCTCTCAGAAGAACGAGACAATCAGTCTTGCACCCGTTCACCCTCACACCACTTCTCCAGATTTCCTGATGCACAGTCTCAAAACAGGAGAGTTTTCTTTGGCCACTCAAACTCTTTCATTCTTGCACAATCAAGCACACAGTAGTGAGAAAAAAAATTAACAATTTATTAACTTTAAGCAAGACTCTTCAGCTGTTCCTACAACTGTAGCACAAAAAGAACATTAAACAAATAATGAACATCACCCATCACATTATTTATAAATTATTTCTTATCCCTGACAGAATTAGCTATATATAGATGGACAAAATATAATCAAGTATCTTCTGTACACTTTCTGATATTTAAGAAGGAAAAAATCATAAAAATTGATTAAAGACATTAATTATCTGTCCACATTCATCAACTGATGCTAAAATTCCACTTGCTATCCGGAAACCTACACTGACATTCACAGAACATTTAACGCAGCATTCCTCTCCAGACTGTGTTCATAAGCTCTTGAAATCACTGCCTGCTTTGTTTGTGAAGCAGACCTGCTGGGTTCATTCATCTTCCATTATGCCAAATCTTCTGTTTTTCCAGAACAAAATTGGAATCATATAAAAATACAACAGCCTGCATAATCCATCTTGTATTTTTCAGTTGTTTTTCAATGAGAAAGGGATTTAGAAGTGTGGTTTAAAACATTAAAACAGGCTCATCCATGAGGTATTCTGCAATTCAGTTACCACTGAAATTAAAAAAGAGTTTTATATTCAGTATGGAAACATTAATCTTTCTGAATACAGAAAGCCTTCTGATTCCACAGTTCTGGGACACATACATTAAATCATTCAGATCACCAAACATGCTGCTGTCTACCCATTTGTTACATCCTCAGATGAACTGCAGTGGAAAGAACAACTGGAAGGTCATAGTTACTAGAAAAGAAGAATTAAGGCTGAGCAGAGTAGAAAGAGGACAGGAATTGGGCTGAATTTATTTAATCTGGGCTTTCTTTGCTTGGGGGGTTGCTAAAAACTTGTAAGTAAAGCCACAGGCAGTAACTGTTCCTACCTAGAATGACCCCTTTGATGGGCAGCTCACCAACTCACATTCACTCATGTGAGTCAAAGGTTGAGGAACTACAGTCTGGCCTTGTAGGTAGATAAAAACAACACATTCTGAAAACAGCATTTTAAATCGAAAATAGCCTTCTATTTACAAGAAAAACATTAAATTTCTCATGAAAGCTAGCCTGTTTCTAACACACAGAGTCAACCGATTTCTAAAGCGCTACAGCCAGGCCAATCCTCTGCAAGAGGAGGTAGTAACTTTTTAGGGAAGTTCCTGCAGACCAGTGGTCAGTTGGCTCCAAGGGCAGAGAAAACCAGTAGTACCATTTCACTTTACCTTTGTAATTCACTAAGCGCTCTACTTGTGGATGGGCTAGGGTTTAGCCTCAGGAAGTTCTGCTTTAAATTGAGATGAGTGAGGTCTTGGCTATAAAACAGGTTGGCAGGCAGGTGCTCCAGGCTGCAGCATGAAAGATCCACTGAGCTTATGCGTTGGGATGCAACCTGGAAGTCAAGAGGTACACCAATATGTTAATACTGCAATAAAACAAGCTCATTTCCTTCACCCCTTCTAGTACAAGATAAATTGTTTCTAAGCACAGCACAAGTCAGTGTTGGCATATATAGCTCATCTAACACCGTTTACACGATTGCTGCGAGTTATGCCATGGTCTCTTGCTTTGCCTCAGTGCAAAAACCAGGCCCACAGATGGCTATAGCAGGGGCAAAGAGCAAAGGTCTGACAAAGTAATAAGTGAAAAGGATTCATTTTCATCAATGAAGTTATGTGATACTCTACAACCAGAAAAAAAGATATAAGATTTTACACAACCTTCAGTTAAGTCCTTTAGTTAAGCAAGTAACAGCAGCAAAAACATAGTGCAGACGTCTCCAATACTGCTGCACGACTGGTCAGTATACCCAAGTGAGTGGAGGTGAGAGGATAACAGTCGTCATCCTCTCTTAGTTTCAAGGGTCAAAAGTTGATATTAAATGGCAGAATAAAGTGGTATCCCACTTATATCTTACTGGAGAAAAAAGGTATTGCAACAGCAGCAAAGCACCAATCACTCATCTCTTCTCAATGAATTAAGAAACTGTCCAAGAGTGATAAAAATGTGACAAAAACAAAACTAAGACTTGGGGGTTGAACACTGTTGCCTAGAAAGGGGCAGGTAAAACATAGCCTATAGAGGCTAAAGAAATGGTACCATCTAGCACTACATATAGCTAGCATCATTGATACAGCTGGGTGACCTACATTCTACTTTAAGAATTCACTTATTTATTAACGTAGTACAGCAGCACAAGGCAGTGAGGATGGTCACAAGAGGAGAGGTCAAATGCTGGAAGGATGAGAGGCACTTTTAGAGCAGGCATGGCTTAGACCAAAGGAGGAGCAAACAACTTCACCACCATTTTATACTTCTGCGACTGCACCCAAACAATCACATTTTCTGTTGGCTGCTCACTGCAAGAGAAGCAGTCATTTAATTTTGTCACTGGCACTTTCACTGGCCTCACATGCTAGGACTCTGGAAGTACAGACACCACATCTAAGGGACAAAAAGGGAATAAACCCAACAAGGCATAACCCATGCCCAGTGACAGTCTGCGAGAGCTTCTGAACTCAATGGAGACAGCACCGAACCTTCTGGTCAGAGATACAGCTCTTGCCATGAAGTACCTTGAACCTTGAAGTACCATCGTGTATTGCTGACACAAATGAAGTAGCTTGTCACTGACAGAAAGGAAAGGAGCTTTTTCTTTTCTTTTTTTTTTCTTTTTTTTTTTTTTTTCCCTCTCCAGTGCAAGCTACACAGGCCTCAGGATAAGTGGTCCCTGTTATAAACACACAGCCATAAGCTCAGAGAGGAACAGACGATGCAGTGTTTTTCTCTAATGCGACTGTTAATAATCCAGTCCTCCCACATCCATTAAAATGCTCAAATTTTTGTTACTCAATTAGTTCAGTCCTTTTGTTACTGCAGCTACTATTTTTCTTCCCCTTGTAGTATTAGACAAAAATTATTCACAGGCTACTCTGAGCAGTCATTTCTGGAAGCCAGGTACTCAGCCTATTTATGGTTCCAGAACCTGCCCAGTACAGTACAGTTCTCATCACACAGAAAACACAAGAGGTGAGAAAGCTCTGACACCTGTGAAATTAAAAAGGAAAATGTGTAATTTCAGGTGTAATGCTTACATACGCTGTTGTTTCAGCTACTTGTTTGGAACGTGCCATGAACAGCAATAAGCAACCCAGCAGTGCTTAGCTAGGCACGTCATGCTAAAAATACCTAAAATACCAGAACTGGTAACTCTGAGTGTGAACCATGAAAAAGCAGCTGAACAAATCCAAATTCTGCTCACATCTCAAAAAAGGATGCAAATCCTTTCTTAAAGTCATCAAGCCCTGTGAAAAAGATCTAGTTAAAAGTAATTTTGTTCTTACAAGTTGTATGTTATGGTTATTTTTTGTTTGCTTTTTTGTTGGTTTTTGTTTGTTTGTTTTCATTAAAGGGATCACTTTGTTGTATGAATAATTTAATTAAGTTTTTCATGCAATTGACGTATACTGAATGATGCCTCTACCAAAAAGATAACTGTAGAAGTAAAAACCACAGTTTAAAAGGTGTTCTGGAATCAACTATGATTTTATTGAAGTGTTTTTCATTAGCAGTACTCTAAGAATTAACTTCTGAATTGTTAGAAGGAATGCTCGTATAGACAAACATTCTCACAGGCAGGTCTAAAGACTTTTCATTGCTCAATACTGTTCTGTAACAATTTCCTAGAGAACAGAGGAACAAGATGAAAACCAAAGAGTGACAAAGGAGAAAAACATCTTAACAATAATTTCTTTGGTTCACCAGAAACTTTCATCAGTTGTTTTGAAGTTGAGTATTGAAATTATATTGTTCCCAAATCAAACAACAGAGGGATATTTCAGTCTTGCAATCATCTCCAATTGATGTAAACGCAGTAAGACTGTGCATGCATGTGCTTGCTCTTGCTTATAAAGAGCAAAGCATTTTTCTAAAATATGATGCAGTTTTTAATAAAGCATTGGGTTTCCTTGACTCACTGTAGGGAATCACTGCAGAGATAAGCTGATAAAGGATAAGAAAATGCTGACTAGAGTATCCCTCACAGCCAGAGAATAAAGAGTATCTGGAGGAAGGGACATTATCTGCAGAAAGTAGGGTTTCCACTGGAAGAAAAACAAAATCCAAGACATTCCACTGTAGATAAATAGTCCCACAAGTTATATGGGCTGTGCTCAACAGTCAAAAATAGTGCAGAGGGTCAGTGTGGTAGCAATGCCAGACGGAAAGGCTTTACAGATACACATGGAACCTGCACCAAGTGCTTACTGAGGCTTCTTTGGGGTTTTCTTTTGGACAGCTCAGAAGTGTAACTCTTCTATATGCTTTACATACATACACAAAAACAAAACCAGAAGCAGTACACTTCACAACTCCCCAGGCAAAAGAAGCCATTGCCCAGACCAACCGCTCCCAAACATCTACCATCACACCCTGAACCGCACACAACCGTAACACTTGTTCTCACATGAAACTCCTGCTGCGCTCCCAGTGCATGTAACACGGGGGCAGTGGCTGGGGCAGTGACCTGCTGGGACGATGGCGGACGACAGCCTCCCAGTTTCGGCAGCTACAGCGCGAGCTGCAGGGCCAGCACCTGTCTGCGTCAGGGATGGGAGACACGCCACAGTGTGGCAGCAGGGCAGCTGGGACACATAGCAAAGTCTCCTACTTTTGAAGCCCACTTTTCAGTTGGGATTTTTAATCACCACAAATATAAAGAAACAAGATTAAACGTGCAGCTTTCTCCACTCCCCAGATACAATTTTTAAACACTTTATGGTCAATCATTGTATTGCAATGTCTCCTATCGTAATACTAGAGGAGTAGCAACAAGGCAAGGCCAAATTCAACTTTGCACGTCAAACTGCAAAGTCCAGTGGAAGACTTTTTCCAGTTCCTGCTGCAACAGGATGTTTTAAGTTCTTTTCTGGGGGGTCTGCATGTGAGTACGGCATACTGAAGTGTAGTTTTGAAGAAGAGGTACACAACTATAGCACATGCACTACAAAGAGCCCTGGATCTATCCACTGCAAACACCAAAGAACTGTCATGCTTTCAAGTTTACTCCAACAGTAATAAGATACAGCTTTATTCTGCAGATACCACCTCAAATAAGAGGTCTTTCCCTCCCTTGGGCAGTACATCTTCTGCTACTCCCCATCTAAGAGCTGCACAGATGGCAAAGAACCAGGAGTCTCCCAGATAGGAAAACTCACTTTTAAACATGTATTACTTGTGCCACAACAGTACTTGCAAGTAAAAACAATGATTCACAAATGCCAGCAGTACCTTAACTAGAAAAAGGTTTTGCTAAGTTGTTTCGGTTTTAATATTCTTCTATTGTTATTTTTGAAAAGGAAACAGCATTTCAAAACTGGTGAAAGTATGGTATGGGTTCACTGTAAATCTTTAGCAGCTGGCAATAAAAATACAGAAAAATTCTTGTATCAACCAATATTCTTGCTCCTTCTTGCTACACAGGGTCAAAATACCATTTTGCTTTGTCTGTCAGTATAATGCCACCTCTGTCACCAAGCTATGCACAAGACTGATTACTGCCTTTGTTTTAAAGGCTTGGCTACACTACAAAAATGATCTGTTGCTGACAATGGATGTCAGCAATGGACACAACTGAACCCAGCTGTATGGACAAATACAGGCCTTGTTTACACAAGGACATCTTTTGGTGTGATCTGTGGTGTGAATTTAAACCAATGTAATTATGTCTTTTTCCTGTTTACCCTCATCCCATTCCCTATAGCTCTATTCAGATAAGAAACTACTATTTAGGACTTCAACAGAGGACAATTAAAATAACTAAACAGCCCACACTGTACAGGCAGCCAAATTCCCAGTCTGTTTGAACTGAGTTGATGATGTTAAATTACACCTGCTGTAGACATGCTAATGCAAAGGCAGTGTAATTTTTCTCTTTTAGAATTTGTTTTTAAATAGTTCGATAATATCACATCCCACCAATGCCTGCGTAAGGCTTAACTAAACAGTGATACATGGGCTTGAAATAGCTAAATTAACTGCTTAGAGCAAACAGGTTCTCCTCGCCTCAAAACCAACCTTGCTTCAAATCCTAATCCTCTTTTTTATTCAAACATCAAAGCCCCACTCAGCAGAGAGGCTTCCCTCCACTGAGCTGAACCCCACAGCCTGGAAACACATTGGTGCTCTCAGCCACAGACAAAAGCTGAGGAAACGTTCAGACTGGCAAACATGCTAATGCCAAAAGTCTTCATGAAAGAGGGGAAAAATATAAAAAGGTTTTCTTTTTCTTTAAAGCTATGCATTTTCACTTTTAAATGATAGCTTTCAAAATAGGTGCAGTCCAAAGGGTGAAAAGGTAATGGCGTTTCTGGCCTCTCCTTTTTGTTTCAAACA